CAAATGGAAAGGGGCAGCTTTGTAAGGTCATGAGCTCTCCATTGTGGGAGGTATTCAAGAAATGGGTCTGATGATCATTTGTCAGAAAAGTTATGGAACAGAATCCTTCTCAGGTACAGTTTGTGCTAAGGAATCCTTTTATTTCCTTTCTCCTCCAAGACTGTCATTCTGAGTTACCTCCTACTTGAACCAAGAAAAATTATTTCAAATGAAGTCATTATAAGATATTTATAAGACATGCAGCCTTTCACTTTTAGTTTTGTGATTTTGATAAGCAACACTTCCTTGGCAAGGTGAGTCTCCAGTGGCCCCCACTGGTTCTCTGAACTTAGGCACGTTTACAGAAGATGAGATGTGAACTTCCACATGTGTGTTGCTTTCTGGGAGCATGCAGAGGTATCTATTTCTGTCAAACCCAAATAAGAAGGGCTTATTTCTAACTGGCTCTGCTGCATAAATGCAGAATCTTTTAATTTTTAATAGCACCTCCCCAGGGACATGCCTCCCATTTCTCAGGCAAACCCAGCATTCACCAGCTAAAGGAAGCGAGGAGGAGCTCTGCTGAAGAAAGCCTACTTAGGACCTGTTGACTGATTCCTGAATTCTCCGGGGGTGTTGGGAAACAGCAATCTCAGAGGACAGTGCTAAGCCAGGAACATGCTTTCAGCTACCACCAGTTCTTGGTCATCCTCCATTTGCGAAAAGAAAGAGGTAGGGACCTTCATCACCTCTCATCTAGACTAATACACTAATCTCCTAATTGTTTTCTCTGCCTCATTTCTCCCCAGTCCAACCCATCCTCCATCAAACAACCAAGTGATTTTCCGAAAGTCTAAGTTTGACCATAACACTCCCCTGCTCCCTAAACTCCACTGGCTCTTTTTGAGCTGCAGAATCCAATGCAAAATCCTCTATTTGGCCTTAAATGTCCTTCACAATCTGGCTCCACCCTCCCGAAGCTGCTATACATCTACTACCCTTCACACCCTCTGTGTGAAGCCCAAACAGACCATCTGGTTACTCCTTACACAGGACATGCCATGTTCCACCTCCATTGTCTTTATTCAGGCTGTGCCTCACACCTGGAATGCAATCTCTCTTCATTTCTACTCTTGAAATCCCTACTTCCCTTCAAGGTTCAACTCAAACTTTACCTTTCATATGAAGGGTCTGAGCTCTTTCATAACCTCCCTCTAGCTAATAGTACCTACATCATCACATATTTATGTACTGATTTCTTACCTTCTTATATTGTCCCCTCTGTGGGCAGCTGGTTGGAACACTACATGGAGCACCAGGCCTGCAGTCAGGAAGACTCATCTTCCTGAGTTCAAATATGGCCTCAGATACTTACTAACTCTGTGCTCTGGGCAAGTCACTTAATCCTTTTTGCCTAAGTTTCCTCATCTGTAAAATGAGCTGGAGGAGGAAATGGCAAACCACTCTAGTATTTTTGCCAAGAAAACCCCAAATGGGGTCACGAAGAGTCTGATGTGACTGAAATGACTGTACAACAACAAAAACTTGTCTCCTCTGAAAGAGTGTAAGCTCTTTGATGGAAGGCATTGGCTCTTTGTATCCCTCAGCATCTAGCCTGGTGCCTAGCCCTTGGTAGGCATTTAATAAGTGCTCATTGCTTAAGAAACATGACTCCCTCAGTTTTAATTTCAAGCATTATAGAAAGCATGGTCAGCACCTATCCAGCATCAGATAAAGGCTAGAGGACTTCAGTAATAATAATAATAATAATAACAATAATGGCATTAACAATGATAATAATAGTGATAACAATAATGTTTGTTTTAGTACTTCTGGAATCCAGGATGTCACTAGTGTGGGCAATATGCCCTCTGCCAACCACCTAGATCACAAACCCCCTCCATACCTTGGGAAATACCACGGCCAATGGAAATTCATTGCCTGGTGGACAGCCTTTTGGCTGTTTCTCTGAACCTGGCCTTTAGAGCTTAGTAGAACATGCTCTTGCTTGCATTCCATTGGCAGGGCTTTCAAGGACTCAAGATCAACTCCACACCATGGTGAGAAATCAGAACAGGACATAAGTGGAGCAGGAATAATGATTACAGCTGGCATTACATGGTGTTTCAAGGCAAAGAAACTGCTTTACAGTCTTTGTTTGGGTGGGGTGGGGAAGGAGAGGGCAGGAGAATCCAGAACTAAGATATCATCAGTATAGGGAGGAAATTATTTTTACCAATGCAAATCAACAGTAGTTAATGCTTATTTTTGCTAGCATGTGTAGGTTTGCAAGGTGTTTTACAGATATGATCTAATGTGATCTTCACAACAACTCTGGGAAGTAGGTGCTATTATGATCTTCATTTTACAAATGAGGAAACTGAGGCAGACAGAGGTTAAGTGACTTGCCCAGGGTCACACAGCTAGTATATGTCTGAGGCTGGATTGAAACTCAGGTCTTCCTGACTTCAGCACTCTATTCATTGTATTACCTAGTTGCCTAGTTACCAGACAGAGATTAAATGTTCAGCACATGGAAAACTCCAGATGTTTTTTTTTTTTTTCAAGAAGAACTGCAAGGACAAATTGGAGTTATCTTAGAGGGAAGACACTAACATTAAGGGGTAACAAAAAAGGCTTTTTGTAGAAGGTGGGGTTTTAGTGAGGACTTGAAGGAAACAGAGATGAGGAGGGAGAGAATTCCAGGCCAGGGGAATAGCCAATGAAAATGCACAGGGTTGGGGGAGGAACAAGGAACTGCAAGAAGACCAGTGTGAAAGGAATGAAGAACTTAGGGAGGGGAGTAAGGGGTAAACACATATGGGAATATAGGAAGGGGCCAGGTTATAAGGGACTTTAAAGGCCAAATATAAGATTTTATGCTTGATCCTGGATATAATAGGAAGCCACTGAAGTTTATTGAATGGTGAGAGAGAGAGAGAGATACACACACACACACACACAGAGACAGAGAGAGAGAGACAGAGACAGAGACAGAGAGAGAACAAAGAGAGACAGAAAAGAGAGAGGAGAGACAGATAGACAGACGGAGATAGAAATGGTCAGAACTTCACTTTAGGAGGATCACTTCCTAAGCTCAATGTAAGACAGATTGGGATAGAGAGAAACTTGAGACAGAGACCAACCCACTGCTACTGCAGTAGTTCCAGTGTGAGGTGATGAGGACCTGCACCACGCTGGTGACAATGTCAGAGGAGAGAAGGGGATATACATGATAGATGCTATGAAGGTAGGATTGCCAAGACTTGGCAACAATTTGCATATGGAGGAAGAGAAGGAGCTGGGGATGACACATGGGTTGCAAGCCTGGGTGAAGGGAAGGATGATGGTGCCCCTGACAATTACTCAGAGGTCGAGAAGAGAGAAGGGTTTTTGGAGGGGGCATGGGGGAGAAGAGACTGAGTTTGGTGTTAGACACATTGAGTTTAAGTTGTCTACAGAATATCCAATTCAAGATTTCTGAAAGGCAGTTAAAGATGTGAGATTGGAGGTCGGGAAAAAGGTTAGGGCTGGATAAGTGGATCTAAGAATCATCATCAGAGAAATGATAACTGAATTCCTAGGAGCTGATGAGATCACCAAACAAAATAATGCAGGAGAAGAGAGAAGGGACCAGGACGGAGCCTTTGGAAACACTCACAGTTAGCTAGCGTGAGCTTAATAAAGATCTAGCAAGAGTCTGAGGAAGAGTGGTCAGATAAGTGGGAGGAGGATAGCATCATGAAAACCCAGAGAGATGAATGTATCCAGGAGAAGTGGGTAAGTTACAATGTCCCAGAGACAGTATTCATTTTCATACATTAGGTTTCAGGCTCTGTGCTCTGTGCTCTTTTTCCAAAGCAAGAGTACTCCTCCTAGAACCTAATACATTGTGATACTATGCACTGCATAAGACCAGTACTGATACTGTCCTATCAAGAGATAGCCTTCCACAAAGGAAGAAGGTGGCTCTCAGTGCCTCAGAACCCATCTAGGCCCCCTGCACCGAGTGGTTTATGCCCTCACTGAGATTCCTAGCTCTGGCAATGGCTGTTTGGTGTTTAGATTGGTTATCCTTCCCTCCTAAGCCTCGATCAGGACCTGCCGCTGTCCTTACAAGCTCCTGGAGAACAGGCATGCCTTACAAGGATCCTGGGGACAACCGGACTGTATATCATCTAAGGAATTGCTTCTTATTTTTTTTTTAATAATTAAGAGCAATACCCATCCTAACCTAACCTTAGAGAAACATCCTTCCATAACAAAGAGTGGTATAGACATTCTTCTCTGCTGGGTATAATGGACTTGTTAGTCCAAGAAGATTCACATCATTTATAAAATTAATTTACAGGAAAAATGAGTATTCATAAAAATACAACTAATTGGGTTAAGATGGCATATTCACAAGAGCAGCACTTTAACTGCAGAGGATTGGAGAGTCTTCAAGATGCAAATTAAGTCATCAATCCTCAAAACCTCTTTATGGGACTGAGGGAGGAAAAAAAGGCATCTTCCACTTTTGCAGATGGGAAAACTGAGGCTAAAGAGAGGGGAGGGAAATACCCAAGGCAGAACTGAGGAACACCAATGGAAGGGACAGGAAGGAGACCCCAGAGTTCTGACTATCAATCTCCATTTCATTGAGCAGCCATGTTTCCCATTGTAGGCAAACACAGCAAGGTAAGATTTCTGAAGGAGGTCCTTGGTTCTAATCTAAGCTCTACTAGAAAAGGACAAACAACAATTGAACATCTGGTCTGGCCTTCAGCAAGTCTCTTCCCTCTCTAGGACTCAATTTTCCTATTAGTAAACTATGGAAATTGGAATAAATAATCTCTAAGTGTGGGGGGCTCCCCTTCCCCCCAAGATCTTAGATCCTCAAAAGCTCAGGACCACTGTAGACTGTTGTGGTTTGTCCTTCATTCTCGAAGAGGACTATGACATCAGGAAGATGATGCCATGTGGACTGACGATGCCCAAGGGGGGGACACCCACATGCCCAGGTCACTGGCTGTGCTCACCCATTGGGACGAAGGTCAGGCAGGGGCCTATCCAGGGGCAGGCGGTCACTGAGGTAAGCGTTGTAGCCGTAGTATTGAAACTGCTTCAGGGCGATGCGCCTGCTTTCGGGGCTGAGGTCCTGGCCCCAGTGGGCAAAGAGGGATGAGTCTGTGAAGGCCTCAGCAGCACTCTCCTCAGGTTTGGCAGGGGCCTCTGAAAAGACACAAACGACAAGGAGATGCATGAGATTGGAACTTGTTTCACCAGGAGGTAGGCTAGCAGCCCTCAGAAAATCAGCACCCCAAGAGTTCAGATACTCTCCCACCCATGGTATAAAGCCTCAGGAAGAGCCAAGACCTCTTGCTACAGGCACCTCCCATCCAAAGCCACCCTCCCACCACCCAGAAAAGCCTCCCTTGCCTCTCAGCTCAGGTCTAGCAGGAATCTAAGACTAACTCTTTGATATGTAAGAACACAGCTTGTCTGGTCAGGCATGAATACTCCCAAGGGGTCAGAATACCACAGA